CATATATATATATAGCTGTTGAGATATTCTACTCATCTGCTAAGATTACCCTAGACATATACTAATTACTGCAAATAAAGGAAACCATGGAACCTATGTTTCTTTGGGTCTGGCTTACTTCACTTCATATGTTTTTTTCCAAGTCTTTCCATTTCCTTAAAAATGGAGTGGTATCAGTCTTTCTGATGGAAGCATAGAATTCCATTGTGTGTTTGTGTGTGTGTATGTGTGTGTGTGTATCACATTTTCTTGATCCACTCATCTACTGAGGGGTATCTGAGTTGGCTCCATATCTTAGCTATGGTAAATAATGCGAGGATGTCCGCTCTCTCCATTCCTCTTCAATTTAGTATTAGAATGCCCAACTAGAGCAATAAGGCAAGATGCTAACACAAAGGGGATCCAAATAGGGAAAGATGAAGCAAAACTCTCTCTTTGCAGACGACATGATCTTGTATTTAAAGAATCCCAATGGACTCCAATTCCAAGTTACTCTAGCTGATCTGAAACTTCAGCAAAGTATCAGGGTATAAAAGTAACCCTCAAAAACCAATGACTTGGCCAGGTGAGAGGCTCATGCCTGTAATCCCAGCTACTCAGGAGGCTGAGATCTGAGAGGACTGTGGTTCAAAGCCAGCCCGGGGAAGGAAAGTCCCCAATTAACCACCAGAAAACCAGGATTGGCACTGTGGCTCAAGTGGTAGAGCACTAGCCTTGAGCTGAAGAGCTTAGGGACAGTGGCCAGGTCCAGAGTTCAAGCCCCACAACCGACAAAAAAAAAAAGATCAGTGGCTTTTCTGTATGCTAATAATGAGAAGAGTGTGGCTAAAATCAGGAAAGCAACTCCCTTTGTAATAACCACCCCTCCAAAAAAAAAATACCTAACTTAATCAAGGAAGTGAAGGACGCTATGAAAACTTTAAATACCTGAAAAAGGAAATTAAAGCAGAACTAAGGAAGTGGAAAAACCTCCCATGTCCTGGATTGGGAGGATCAACATCATGAAAATGGCAATACTACCAAAGGCTATCTACAAATTCAGTGGAATACCCATCAATATCTCAACCTCATTCTTCAATGAAATAGAAGAAGCAATCCAAAAATTCATATGGAACAATAAAAGACCCCGAATAGCAAAAAACAATGCTTAGCAGAAAGAACAGTGCTGGAGGAATATCAATACCAAACATCAAACTCTTTCCTTCTTTTAAGTTGATCATCTGGGGTATTTAGTCACAATACCAAAAAGCATTATTGTAAAAAGGTTTTGATTGTCAGAAAATAAAAGAGAAAGGCAGACTTTAAATTGTTAAAGTCTGCTTTCCAATACTTGCTAAAAGCTCAGGATTGGGTGGGTCTTCAAATGCAACTTTGAAAGAGTTTGTTACCTTTAAGACAAAAAGTCCTGCCAATTCTTCATTTACTAGTGCATTTTCTTATGACCTCTGCTCTGCAAGCTGTTCCTATACTTCCTATCTGCACTTTTCAGTCTTTTTGTTGCAATTACAAGTACTGTCTGTATGTGTTGGAAAACATCCAATTACAAACAGAAGAGACTATATAAAAATGATTAAATCATCTGGCTACATATCTAGAGAAATGAGCTTTTAAAACAAGAACATGTTTGTTTTATTTCTGAAGAAAACAAAAGGGCTACCCCACACCCAATTACCATTCTCCTGTGGTGTGCTTTGCCTGGCTACCTCTGCTCACATCTGTCTATCTTGAAAGTCTATGAGAGCAGCTTGAGAGTGAGGACCCTGCTTATCATTTTACATTCCAACCACCTGATACACGTCATCATGTCACATCTTCTGAGGCACATCTTCATTAATCTTTTTTTTTTTTTGGTCAGTCATGGGGCTTGAACTCTGGGCCTAGGCACTGTGCCTCTGCTTTTTGCTCAAGGCTAGTGCTCTACTACTTAAGCCACAGTGCCACTTCCTTTTTTCTGGAGATAAGAGTCTCATGGCCTTCCCTGCCTAGGCTGGCTTTGAACCATGATCCTTAGATCTCAGGCTTCTGAGTAGCTAGGATTACAGGTGTGAGCCACCAGCACCCAGAGTATCTTCATTAATCTTTTTTATATATATATATTTTTTGGTCCAGTTGTGGGGCCTGAACTCTGGGCCTGGGCGCTGTCCCTCAGCTCTTCAGCTCAAGGCTAGTGCTCTACCACTTGAGCCACAGTGCCACTTCTGGCCTTTTTCTTTTTGCTTATGTGGTGCTGAGGAATCGAACCCAGGGCCTCATGCATGCAAGGCAAGCACTCTACCACTGAGCCACCTTCCTAGCCCCTCTTCATTAATCTTTAAAGCAATAAATTTCCCAACACACAGTAGATTCAATTCAGCTTTACATGGAAGGGAAAAAGAAGCATTGCATTTGGACACTGCATTCAAATGATTATTTAACTAATTTCAAGTCAGTTAAAAATTCTGAAGTTATGGCCAAGTGCTGGTGGCTCAGGCCTGTAATCCTAGCTACTCAGCAGGCTGAAGTCTAAGGATTCCAGTTCAAAGCCAGCCCAGGAAGAAAAATCCAAGAGACTTTTATCTCTAATGAACCAGCAAAAAGCCGGAAATGGAGGTGTGACTCACAAAGTAGAGTGCCAGCTTTGAGTGAAAAAAGGAGTGTGAGGTCTGGATTACCCTAACACCCACATAAAAACTCAGTAACAAAAAAATAAAAGATTTCAAAGCTACTCATAAACAAAGGGACTCTGGTCTATTGTCAATACACAAACATTATCACTGGTGATAAATCACTCTGACTCAAATCACTCTGCTTTTTTGAGGCCACTATAACCCAAGCTATTAATTGTTTCCTCATATTAAGCCCCTACCCACCCTCCTTTTTGGTGCCAGTCCTGGAGCTTGAACCCAAGGCCTATATGCTGTTTCTAAATTTTTATGCTTAAGGCTAGTGCTCTACCACTTGAAGCACAGCTCCAATTCTAGCTTTTTTTGGTAGTTATTAGAGATAAAAGTTACATTGACTTTCCTGGCTAACTTTGAACCATGATCCTCAGATCTTAGCCTTCTCTCTAGCTAGGATTACAGGCATTAGCCACCAGTGCCTAGTGATATTAAATCCTCCTTTAAAATTTGCCCAGTGGTTATTACCCTTTGTTGTCCTAAACTGCCTTTCCTCCCTGGTTTTTCATTTACGTGGCCCTGGGTGGATGCCCTCAGCTCTTCCTCTTCCCTTGGTTTTATCCACTTGGTTCTCACCTTATCTCTCAGAGGATGGTAGTTTTATAAATACCTGAGCCCAACAAACCTGTTAGAAATTACCAGTGAGATCGTCTTGAAATAGTACCTGAAGTACCTGATAAGCCTTTGACAGGTAGGGTTTGTTGTACAGAGAAAGAGACTCAAATCTAATCTTTTTGCATATGTCAGTGTACCCTTCAGAACTGAACACAGGAAAAACAGGCCTTGGAAACTCACATCCAAGAACTTACAACAACAAAGAAAACATTTAATCCTCCATGTTGTGAGAGCTAGTTGACCCCTCCCACTCAGAAGTCTGAATTCTATGCTTTGTCTCCAAGACGAGCTTAGTTTTTGCTCTTTTCCCACAATTTCACAAACCATCAACTAACATGTTGCTTCTCACTACAAGCTACCCAAAGACAGCATGAATTCAAGCTCCTCTGTGTCTTTAGCAAGATTATATTTATTAACCAAGGCTACCCATTATTATTGTTTCTAGGCCAACAGCATGAAAGGAGTGTTTTTAAAAACAACAGCAAAAACCCCTTTATATGATTTTCCCCCACAGAAAGCAGTAGTTATAAAGTTTCAGTTAATTCAGGTACCATTCTTAATCACTGTAGGCTTGCATCTCTCATTCTTAATTGCTGTAGGTGTGTATCTCTTTCCTCCACTGTATTCTATTAATTTCTTGTTATAATTCTGCTTCTTTTACTTTCCATTCCCTAATTAAACCTAGAAGATAACAAACTTCATTCTGTTCACTAAAACAAAAATTTACTAAGCACTGGTGGCTTACACCTATAACTTTAGCTACTGAGGAAGCTCAGATCATGGTTCAAGTCTATGAGAGGGTTTTTTTTTGTTTGTTCGTTTGTTTGTTTTGGTCATGGGGCTTAACATAGGGCCTGGGCACTGTCCCTGAGCTCTTTTTTTTTTTTTTTTTGCTGAGGTTAGCACTCTACAACTTTGAGTCAGAACATCACTTCTAGTTTTCTGGTGATTAATCGGGGATAAGAGTCTCATGGAGGGGCTGGGAAGGTGGCTCAGTGGTAGAGCGCTTGCCTTGCATGCCTGAGGCCCTGGGTTCGATTCCTCAGCACCACATAAGCAAAAAAAAAGCCGGAAGTGGCGCTGTGGCTCAAGTGGTAGAGCGCTAGCCAGTGCCCAGGCCCAGAGTTCAGACCCCACGACTGGACACCCTCCCCAAAGAAAGTCTCATGGACTTTCCTGCCTGACTAGGCTTTGAATCAAAAATCCTCAGATCTCAGCCTCCGGAGTAGCTAGGATTACAGGCATGTGCCCTCAGCACCTAGCTCTTTGACATTCTATGAGCATAAAACTAGAATTGGGGGTGTGTCTCAAATGGTCTAGTACCAGCTTTGAGTGAAAAAGTAATGGGACAGTACCCAGGCCCTTAGTTCAAGCCCCAGACCAGCATAAAAATAAATAAAAACAAAAATTCATAACTTTCATTTTCTAAATCTATATGAGGTAAAAATAAAGTGGTAATGTAGTTTAAAAAGTTAAATAGTGGTGTGTGCCACTATTTAACAGAAGCAGGAGAATCTTGAGTTCTAGGCCATTCTGAACAAAGCAAGATTCTATCTCAAAAGCAGAATAAAAATAAAAAGACTAGGGGGTGTAGTTTGAGTGACAGAGCAATCACAAGGTTCTTGGGTCAACCCCAGGAAAACACATACATATGTATACACACACACACACCACACACACGTACACACACAAATATATACATGTGTATATATATATATATGTACTCACCATGGGTTTTGATATCTGTGGGTTAACTTATCAAGGGCACCAAGACTTAGTTCTCCATGCTGTAGAAAGAAAAAAAAAAAAGTACCATCACACCTATGCAAACAAGCACCAATAGGCTAAAGGTCTATTTTCCTAATCAAGAAGAAATTAGGTTGAGAAGTAAAATAAGAAATGCTAAATTCAGTTGCAAGGAAACCAAGAGAAATGACGTGTTTTGTTTCCTGAACTGTAAGACTAAGCCCATAAGATGGCCTGATGGGTTCCACTTTCCTTGGGGCAAGGTAGGACAAGTTGAGAGCAGTCTCATCCATCCTGCCTTAGCTACTTCCTGTCCTATGACTATGAATAGGCAGCATTCTGAATTACTCTTTACTATTTGCACAAATAGTCTATCTTTCTCTACTTTCTAGCTTTTTCTTTTTCTTTTTTTTTTTCTAGCTTTTACTACTTTATCTTCTCACAGGTAGAAAATGCAATGGCAATATCGTAGGAAAGAGCTGGATGGACACACCTATAAAAAGTGCAGATCAGAAAACTCCCTTCAGAAAGCATAGAATATTGGCAGCTTAGCAGAAATTTCCATATTCAAACTATTCCCCACATACTCCATGTGCCCTGGAATGACTTATTTTCAGTGAATGAATGATCACTACATATCATTCCTTCCCCAGACCCTGAAAAGTGGGGAAACAAGGAAACTCACATTGGTGAGGGTTTGATTCTGTCATTATTTCTAGGTTTTTCCATACTAGAGTTGGGAAAACAAGATATGAATTATCAAAAAGTATTTCACCTAAGTTTGCAATTAATTTTTTACTTACATTGAATCGGCACCAACTTCATAGCATCTCAGAAAGCAGTGATCTAGTACTAGTGACCTAGTACCATTTTTATATTTTCCTAATATTTATTTATTTGATTATTTATTTATTCACTGTGCCATTACTGGAGCTTGAACTCAGGGCTTTATACTCTTGCTTAGCTTTTTCACTCAGAACTGTTGCATTATCACTTTGGGCCTTTTGCTTGTTCACTGGAGATAAGAGTTTTATGAATTTTCCTGCCTTCTTCAGACATTAGCCTCCTGAGTAACTAGGCATGAGCCACTGGTGGGTGCCCAGATTCATTTTTAAGACCTTCCCTTTTTTCCTTCCTTTCCCCCCAAACTCTGGCTTAAAAAAATAACTTTGCTTATTGCTGCTACAGAGAATCTATGGATTGTTTTACTATGTATTTCACCTGCACAAACCAAAAAACCAGCAACCTTGACTTCTTCAATGTCCACATATGAAATGAGTGAACAAAGGAAAGGAGTAAGATGCCTCCTCATTCTGTAGCAAATGCAAAAGTAGTAAGTAGTATGCATATTTTTTAAAGTTCATGGAATTGCTTCATTATTAAACTGATTCCTGACATATCTATCACATCATTGCCTGAAAATTGATTTTATCCATTAAGCTGTCCCTGAGCTTTTGCTGAAGGCTAGTGCAAATATATGTGTGTATGAAGATATAGAGGTATGGATAAGTGATAAAACACATGCCTAGCATGAAGCCCTGAGTTCAAGTCCTGAGTTCAAGTCCTAATACTGGCAAAAATAAAATAAATGAAAGAAGGGTTCAAGATGTGGCTCAAGTGGCAGAGAGCCTGCATAGTAAGCACAAGGTTCTAAGTTCAATCCCCAGAACCATCAAAAACTAAATAAAAAATAATTTAATATCTTCATAAAAAACATCTATTCGATTGCATTTTATAGAAATCAATGAAAACCTTTTACATTTATTTTGACTACTTGTTACTGGCAAAAATAATTACAGCTTCAACTTGGATATTTATTACAAAACCATATATAAACAACTCTACACTTTAATAAAAGGGGACCACCCACTAATTACATTCAGACACAATTTCTGAATGAGACAAATCTGTTAAGTTGAAGTTCAATTAATTGCAGACATTTGGGACTCATCTAGTTAAAAACTGAAACCATCAACAACTTTCCCTTTTATTCTCCAACCACCTCTGGCAGAGCTCTAACGTACTTAGATAATCTTGCTGCTGGAATGGATCCCGGAGGAATCCTCTTCTTTATGATACTCTAAATACTTTTGCTAGGCTTTCCTTACTAGAAAGGACTATTTTCGATCCCATAACTATGAGGTCTTTCTCCTGAGCAGTGTGAATATAGCAGCAATGTATTCGGAGAATGTGGGTACACTAGAATTTCCTTGTCTGGTGGCCTCCTTGAAAATATAGAGCTCTCAGTACTAAACATTTGAGTGGAAAAGTCCCCTAAGCTACTTTTTCTCATGCTAATGTATTTTTTCTCTACTTTCCTCAATTTGCAAAATATTACTGTTAACCCCTTAGAGCTTTCTTCCCACAGCCAGTGGGAAGCACTAGCATTGCAGAGGCTAGGCTACCAGATTGCATTCCACTGCCTATTGTAGACCTGGGCCATTGCGGGGAGATCAAGCATAAAGACCTTTCTATGAATGGAGCATTTGAAGTATTCATTTTATATTCAGAGCATGGGTAGAAACAAAACAATTCTTTCTGAGAAATGCCAATGTTTAAATCTTCATCCTGTGATGCATTTTTTTCCTTGTGAAAAAATCCAAACACCCTTCACTTTATGCCATGTTATAGACTGAATGGTATCGTGCTCCACTTTTGACTTCAATATTTTTAACTTAGTTGAACTCATTCATTCGCTTTCAGCAAAGCGATGAAACATTGGCTTTGTGTTTGTTAACAACAGTTCCAGCATCTCTGCTTTCTGTGAAGTGTTCAAATAACCACCAACATATTCTATTATGTTTCTAGGGTGCTTAAAGAAAATGACTGAAATATTCACAGGAGAGGATTCCCAGTGGTGTTATTACCCTGAACAACTAATTTAAAGTTTAACAAAAATGAGGACGCTGAAAAATGTTTTGTCAAAGGAGGGGTAAGGTGGTGGGGGAGCAGATGAATACAGTCATGATATTCAATGTACATATGTGAAAATGGAGCCACATAATTTGAGGGGATGGGTGGGGTTGAAAGGGAGAATAGAAGGGTGACACTGATCACAATGCATTGTACTCATAAATTGATATGTTGAAACCCCTTTATATGATTAAAGATAATGATAAAAAGAAAACAAGTATAATGACAAATAACCTAAGATGATTATTGTTAAAGAAATCAGAAGAGAAACCTATCAATTAAAAAAAATCCAAGTTCACTTAGATGTAAGATCAAAGGATCAAAGGTATAAAAATCCATGAGATTCTTATCTCTAACTACCAAAAGAAAAATAAATCTGGAAGTGGAACTGTAACTTAAGTGCCAGTCTTGAACAAAAAAAGCCAAATGAGAATGCAAAGCCCTGTGTTCATAGTACTGGCACACGCACACACACACACACACACACACACACACACACACACACACACACACACACACAATCTAGACAAGTAGAAAAATATATCATTAAGATATCAATACTGCTAGATCCCATTATTGAGCCTTGTTTTCCCCAATCCTATGCTAAGTGCTTTCCGCACACAGCTCATCTAATCTGTTCAGCAATGATCTCAGGGATTACTATGGTCTCTTTTAGGCAGAATTCTGGTAATGGCTGGTATTCTCAACTCCTGGTAAACACACTTTTTCCCAGGCTAGCTGCGACTCTGAAAGGCTTTGGTAGTTGCAATGAAGGACTCAAATTTTTGAGTTAACTTTAAGAAAGAGAGATTCTCAATCAGGTGAGCTCTTGAAAGACTCTAGACCCTTTCTAGCAAAGGACTATTGAGCAGGAGAGGAGTTTGATATAAAGGAGACCTCTATTGGTGGCTTTAAAGGTCAAGAGGTTATATGGTAAGAATTTAGGCTGACTCTAGGGGTTAAGGAATGATCCAGGCTAACAACCATCACTACAACCACAAGAAACTGAAATCTACCATAACCACATGAGTGTGGGGGAGACCACAAGCCTCAGATGACATCACTACCACAGGAATACCCTGATGTCAGCTTTAGAGAGCTGACAACCAACCCTGCCATCCTCAAGCTTCTGACCCACCTGTTTGTTCTCAGAACAAATAGGCTTGCTGTAAATTGATGAATGTAAGCCAGTGATCATGGCTCACTTCTGTAATTCTAGTTACTCAAAATGCTGGGACCTAGAGGATTATAGTTCAAAGGCATCTTGTGTAGAAAACACTATGAGAGTCTATTTATCCAATTTACCAGCAAAATACCAGACTAGAGGCATGGTTCAAGTGGTAGAACACCAGCGAGTTAAGTATGAGGGCTGAGTTCAAGTTAGGGTACCAGTACACACACACATACATACACACACAATTTATTTTTGCTCATGTAAAAATTAATATCTTGGCAAAAAATGCATGAGAAACTCCATTTCAATCCTTCATCATTTCTGGATTGTCATCTTCCCTGTATAAGTCAATTGGAGGTAGTAAGAGGTAGACTGAATGGCTGCTGTTTTGTGTCAGCAGAGAGTCAAATTAAACCAATCTCAGACATATGTTGCTCAAATCATATTTGGAGTGTAGCTTGAGATCATCCAGCATAACTGCAGACAAAAGCCATTCTGATTTGCTGTACTTCTGGTTCTTTATTAAGAAAATTTTGGCCTGTGCCCTAGAGTTTCTCCTGTTCCTTTCTGTAATGTTTTCAGGGTATCTGCTTTTACTTTGAGGTCTTTAATCCATCTGGAGTTGATTCTGGTGCAGGGTGATATATAAGTATCTAACTTTAGTTTCCTACAGGTGTTTAACCAATTTTGCCAGCACCATTTACTGAAGAGGCTGTCTTTCTTCCATTCTATTTTTTTGGCTCCCTTATCAAATATTAAGTGGGTATAGATCTGTGGGATCATTTCTGGGTGTTCAGTTCTATTTCATTGGTTCTCAAGTTTGTTCTTGTGCCAGTACCAAGCTGTTTTGATTATTATGGCTTTGTAGTAGAGTTTGGTATTGTTATTGATATTCCTCCAGCACTGTTCTTTCTACTAAGGATTGTTTTTGCTATTCAGGGTCTTTTATTGTTC